TTATACTAAAATAAATGTTTTATTCCTAAAAAAGTGCTGTTTATCATGAATAAATATATATTTTCACTAAGATATAATCAACCATACCCAAATATACATTTCCCCTATCATTGTGTTTGAACCAAAATACAGTCTATATGTACATCCATTAAAGCTATTTTTTTAAATAACATGGACACTTGTATATGATAAATGAAATTTCAACAAAAATTACACCTTAAAAAATGTAAGTGTAGACAACAAATATCATATCTTGATTTTAAAATTGCAAGTTCATTCATAAAGAACCTATATAGTACTAAGATAAGCAAATGTCACAACTTTATTTTCTTACAACATCGTAACTGTGTCCATTTCAACGGAATGAATGAAAATTGTAGCAGGCTAAGTCATATTATATTTAATAAATATTTATTTATTTCTCATTATAAATCTATATTAAAATATACAACAAAAATACAAATATTGCTATATTTGGGTATATTTGGGTGCATTTGGGTATATTTTGGGTATTTCGTGCCGCCGGCGCACTATTCAATAATCAGTGACGTCACATTGAAAACAGGTAAATGTCATGTAAATAAAACATAAAGCTCAAATAATTGATGTTTCTGACTTTAGCAAAATGTTATCATGTGATCAGTATTGCAATGTTTATAATTATCAGGATTCTTTGTTAAGAAAAAATATCATTTTCATAAATGTGAATGAAACGGATATTATTTTTTTCACCTGAGTTTTCTAAAGGAAGTTGTCAAAGGGAGTCAATATTTGGGACCAAATACAGGTAAAATGTGCATGACATTTAAAAGATATTGATTTTTCCCTTAGCAAGTTTACATACGAACAAAAACAAATAGATTTTTTTGGGAATCAATTTAAAAAAATAATTTATAGACTAAATATACTCAAAAAGTTGTGTGGAAAAAAATTATATTTTTTATTAATGATAAAATTTTAATTTAGACTGAAATTTTTTGCATGTGTTTTTTGTTAAAAGTCTTAGTTTGAGGGGATTAATGCCCAAATTGTAAAGTATTTTCTATTAGTTCAAAAACACGGTTGATGTTTTTCATTTTTCTTTAAAAATTTTATTTAACAAAAAAATTTAAAAGGACATATATTAAGGATCCGTAAAATTGTTTACCTCTTTGTCTCAGCACTTGTTACCTTTGATTTGATTTTTTGCATTGAATATTGCTTCATTCCTGAATAGAGTATACTGAGCAGGGTTGACCAGAGTATATCACATTAAAACAACTTGGATTGGGAGGATGTGGGAAAATAAAGATGAAGATGTAGTGTAAAACAGTTGTGCTGACTACAGGATAAAACATTAAACTATAAGATCAAAGTTTGAAATAATTCTTCTTCTTCCAATACTGTACATAACCCACTCTAGGGCATTAACGTATAGGGTGTATGTACACAGTGTTGTGCGGCGAATAAGTGCTGAGATTTAAAAGAAGAACATGTTAAAAATAAAATCAACTCCGGCATATTAGGGCCCCATGACTAGTCCTCCCTTGAAGGCCTCAAGGTTGACTGCTATGGCTAGGTGCTCTGGAAGCTGGTTCCACAGGCGGATGGCCGAAGGTACAAAGGAGAACTTCATGGTGTCTGTTCTGCAGAATGGGACATGGAATCTGTGTCCTTAGCCATGGCCACAAAGTGTCAGGGGGTGGAATTACTGTGCAGCTGGGATGGCTATGAGGTTGTGCATGATCCCGTAGACCATCACTAGCTTGGCGTTGGAGCGGCGATGCTGTAGAGTTGGCCAGCCTAGGTCTGCCATCATTGCAGTAGTGCTGCTGGTAGTTTTGTAATCGCCTTTTACAAATCGGACAGCTCGCCTTTGGACAGCTTCCAGCTGGTTGATGTTGGTGGCTGTGTGTGGGTCCCAGACTGTGCCTGCATACTCCAGGATTGGTCTAACAAGGGTCTTGTAGGCCTTGGTCTTGATGTCTTGTGGGCAGCTTGTGATGTTTCTTCTAAGGAATGATAAAGAGTTGTTGGCCTTCTTGATGGTAAATTCTGTGTGTATGTTCCATGAGAGATTATTTGCGATGTTGACACCAAGGTATTTTCCACTTTTGACAGATTGAAGAGTTGATTGGTGGACCTTGTAAGCATAAATGATGGGGTTTCTTTTCTTGGTGATGTGTATTACTTCGCATTTGCTGGGATTGAAAGACATCATCCACTTGCGTTCCCATTCCTGGAGTCTATCAAGGTCATCTTGGAGGGCTAATGCGTCGGCTTCTGATTTGATTTTCCTGTAGATCAGGCTGTCATCAGCAAATAGGCGGCTGATGGAAGTCACGCACCTTGGTAGGTCGTTGATGTAAAGGAGGAACAGTAAAGGACCTAGTACTGTCCCCTGGGGTACCCCGGATGTGACTTGGGAGGATGCAGATGAGTGGCCTTCAATGACAACCTTTTTTGAAGATAGGTGATACATTTGCCTTCTTCCAGGCCTTCTGCCTGGAACCTATGGGAGCTGAGAAACTGCTTGCTTGAAAGATTTAATAACAGACAGGCCTAGCTGAGTTAAAACTAGTTCTGGTAGTTTAATTGTTCCACAAGTTAGTGGTGTGTAGAGAAAAAGGAGTATTTGAAAAAGTCCGATTTGACATGTAGTTGACAGAGGCTATGGTAATGAATGTGAAAGGAGAATCTATGGACCTTTCCAGTGTTTACAGTTTGATGTAAATTGGCTAACTTGTTATCCAATTACTATATACTGAGATAATACATAGTTTAGTGTCTGAGACTCTTATACATTATCGAGAGTAGTACTTAGTTTGTAACCCATCTGGCTGATCTGTTTTGAACCATCTCTATGTTTTGCATGTTTATTTTAGTCTTCAAGGTGACTGGATGGTGGAAGTGTATTCAAGCTGTGGTTTTATGTGTGTTTTGTATTCAAAAGTTATGATAACTTAGTCAACTAATGTTATAGAAAATCTCTAAAACTACTAATGGACAGTTTCAGCTAAGAGTAGCTAAGTTTATTTACCTTGGATAAACTTAATTCAAAGTTGACAGCTACTCAAAGACTACAAAGGCTCAATGACTAGTAGTCCAGAATTGGCACATCATTAATCTAAAAATAAATGACCAATCAGAAAATAGCTCACTAAAGTCACGGTTTACTCCAAATAATTAGTTATTTTAGATTTGAAATACATGATTGTATATCAATGCTTTTCTCTATAAGACTTCAACCAATCAGAGAATGCAAATTTGCCTGAGTGGATCAAGTAAAAGTTGGTCTTATAGAGCGGGCATTGTAGTCCAGTGGTCTGACTACAAATTCTGGGATGATGATTTCTAACACAAACTAAAATTTCTTTCGAATTGGACTTGAGGGCCCATGTACATTACACATTAAAGAACCAGTTGTTTCTTCTTAAATGGATAAATTATTTCTGTGTAAATTGCAGTCACATTTCCTCCATGAATAAGTTACAGTCTTCTTGAGTAATTTATTAAGTTGCATAAATTAAGTTACTGTAAATCAGTTTTTAAATACGATTGAAAGAAACATTAAATGTTTACAGTGAAGGAAATAAAAGATCTATAAGTAATTTTATCCGCTTGTTATTTGATAGGTATTTGTAATAGTTGTTCGTTCAGTGGTAAGTGTAGAGCTGTCATGGATAGAAACATAATATTGATGTTTTATTGATTATTTTTATTGAAAATAAATATCAATACACTTATACAGATTTGAAAAAATTAATCAGGAATTTTGAATTATCAAGAAAATGTCTGGAGATGACAAAAATTCACCCAAAACAGTTACCCTGCCAAAATGCATACATGTAATAGAAAGAGCATCGAAACATGAGGCTATCTGATTTGTACGAGGGGGCTACGCCCCCTGAGTATAAATCAGATTGCCAAGTGTTTTGATGTTCTTTCTCTTTTAATTGTATCATAGTCAAAAATAAAAGCACTTTCCCTGGTGTCACAATAATATTGAAACCCCAGATTAATGAACAAGCATCTGAATATGATATTTCTATCGCTATCCCTTTCTTTGTCGTCACAATATGTAAACCCCAGTCAAAATGAACCGATCAATGGGCATGCTCTGGAGTGCAGGTAACTAATACCTGCACTCCAGTTAACGCACTGTGCATGTATATATGATTTAACTCTGATACATTTTCATCAGAAAAGTCCCCAAACTATGATACATTTAGACTTCTTTGAAACTATGGAGCTGTTGATTAGATATTTTGTGATGTGAAAAGATGGTCAGAAAAGTAAAACATGCAGAGGGCATTTTTAAACATTAAACACATAATTTTATGCACTGAACATTTGTTTTACTGAATACAGGTTTAAATTTAGAGAAATGTAGACAAATGTTATTTATATATTGTCAATATTTGTTATCTGATATCAATATATAGTCAATATGTTTTACAGAAGATATTGATTGAAATTTTATACAAATCAAGAAATCAAATACATGGTAAATGCTTAAAGTATAGTTTAACTTGTTTTGTAGCTCAACTTTTTGAAGTATGGGGGAGCTATTACAGTCACCCAGGTGTTGGCATCAAAATTTGTTTTTTTTTTTTGTGCAAATTGGATCTCCAGAACTACAGCAATGAATGGGTTGAAACTTCACATACTTGCTCTCTGTGCCAATCTAATATGATGGGCACAGGTCCCGTAACATGAGTTACCTTATACAGAGTTATGCCCCTTTTCTTACTAAGCCAAGCACTGAGAATAGACAAACATGCTGTCTTACGGACAGCTCTTGTTTGTTTAACCTGCCATTTTTAGATTTTTCAAAAATTCTTTTTTTCAGGCTGATTTGAAATATTTTTTGTATTCATAAATTATATGCCCTTATGTTCTCCCAGCATATAAGCTAATAATAAGTACAATATGTAATAGACCTATTTTCTAAATCATGAACACTTTCATCTTTCAGACTGTGACAATATGAAAACAAAGGAAGAGTGAAGTAAAGTGCAAAAACATGTTTTACATTGCGTTATTGTGTAAGTTCTACTTTCTAGTTTTTGTAATTGATACTGTATATACATTTATTATAATATTCATTTATTCATAAATATTTATAAATTACATTATTATAAGTTGTCTGTTATGATTCAGACTCCCTATAAACAATTTTAAACCACAGGGAATGCTTATATTTTGTTTGATATGTAGTGATAAAGATAAATAAAAGATCTATTGAATAAGGGGTCAATGGATTTTAAAGTCTTGCAAGTTGCTTGAAGGAAAATATTCAAGCAAAATTTCTCTCTTCCCCAACATAGTGAAATAATCCAAGAATACTATTAAAGCAGATCATCGGATGCCCACGGCCGAACCATTTACATTTATCATGTTATTATGTTACATGTTAATCACCTGTGGGTATGTTAAAGCACAGAATCTTTATCTTAACAAAGTTTTATGTTGAATGTTTGGTTGCATTTCAGGGTGTATAGCATTTGTTACAGTGACCATTGGTTTAGCAGATGGATCAGTCTCAAAATCAGGTCAGTCACTTTTTTGTTACACCCAGATTTATTGTTTTTTACAATAATTATGCATCTTAATTAATCCTTAAAATCATCAGCATGGAAATGATATAATGGTTTATTTTGATAGTTCTGCTTAAGTTTTTAAAAAATTTTTAGCACATGTAATAATAAACATATTCATTTATGATTGATTGTGATTGTTTATTTCAATATGTCAGAATGCACCAGTTTGTCTATAAACATATGACTGTTACATGACCAGCACAAGTGAGACTGGTTGTTGATTAATAACAAAATGGACTTGCTGTTAAAAATTGAAAATTCCTCTTTACAACTGTTCATCTTTTGTTAGACTATTCGAAGAATTAGGGAGAGCTATTGTACTCACCCAATATGTATTGGCATCATGCTTTCAACAGATTGAGTTTTTGCATACAAGTTGGTATCTCCAAAACTACTGAAAGGAACTGGTTGAGAGCATGACAGGAGGTCATTGTCCTAGGCCCATAACTCTTACATAGATTTTGACAAAATAATTGCCATTTTTGATTTTAAAAAAATTCTACACTCTTGTTTTACTTAAGCAAGCACTTAGAATAGTCAAGCTTGGTGTGTTACTGACAGCTCTTGTTATCAATGAGAGCATGAAAATCTAGTGTGCCCTTGAAAATCAATGTTTTACCCTTAAAAATGAATTTTTTTTGCATTGAGAATATCAGTTTGACTAAACTGATTGAATGCCTTTTACAATGGAAAATCTTAGTTTCAACTGGATGACAATCACCCAAGTTTCACCATTGAAAATTTTGACAGTCAGTGGGTCATAATGACGCTTGAGTTTCAGTCTATACTGAACATCTCTAATTCTGCGTCATCACTTATTTCACATTTATGGCATATTTTCATGTGACCAGTGTTAAAATTGATCAGAATTGCCATATTTTATTCAAACACCTAAATAACAAATTTTTGTGCAATATATTTAAATCTGTAAGTTTTGACGTAAAACAGAACAACATTTTACAAATTTCTGATAGTCTGTTAAAATTGGTGCATACGTCTGAAACAATCATCATTTTCTAAATGTTCTTGTTTGTTGAAAAAATAATTTTTGAGTTACAAAGTAAAGATAGTTTTAATATTTAAAATTAAGCAAATTAACATGTAGAAATTTTAACTGAAACATGAAAAAAATGAAATAAAACACCATTTGATTACCGCGAATTAAATGATGACATATCGTTTTCAAAATGGCCGACATATGGTCTAGACATCTTGCCCATTTAAACTGATTTTGACTGAATATATTGTTGTTTCCTAAATTGTGTCATACATATGAAAATACCTCTATGTTACAGCTAAAATATGACAATTTTTGTACCATAAGTTTCATGTGTAGTTTTCTTTCTTGTTTCAAAGCGTGAAGTACCGTGAACTAAGAGGAGCACAGTATACTGCATGAGTATTTGCAATATTCCCAAACACTCAAACCTTGTAGACTTGCGGTTTATATTGTCTTTATAACCTTTATTTCAGGAAATTATTTAACTTTGTTTTTGTATTTCTACAGGTCTGTCATTCGATCTATGTAATACAAAAACTTTGCGATTGCTCAATATTGATGACAGTGGCATTATAAAATATGATAATTCATCATCATCAAGCGGTCAATCCTCTGGTCTTGGATGTGTTCTAAAAATAGAATCATGCAGTTCTTGCCAGATACAGCTAAAAATAAGCACAGATGACAACTTTACATTCTTCTGTCAGACGGGCATTGTTCATTCCAAATATTGCTCATTAGGGTGAGTATTTTTTAGAAAAAGTAAAATGATTCAAAATTCTAGAAATAGTTTACATGTTATGTGCGATAAATGACCTATTTTTCAGCATTATAACTATATTTCTACTGCATTACTAATGCAGTAAGGGCTATTTTTGTATATTTTGACCATTTTTTTGGTAACTTACATATGGGTTGTAAGTGCCATTGATAATGCATAAATTGCATCCTTTTGGTGACTTCACAGTATAATACTTTTAAATACATTTTCAAATTTTCATGAAAATAAGCATGAATCTGGAGCACGCTTTAAAGATTTTTAATCATCTGCTGTCAATTATTTATTTTCTTAAATATTTAAACTAGACTAATACAAATGTTGCTGAACCTGGTTATTTCAGGTCTATATAATGCTTTCTGTTTAATAATACTTGAATTCTTAAGAAACTGAAATCGTTGCCATGGTAACACTGTGAAAAATAACAATTTTAAATCTCAGACAATATGAATAGTGAAATGTGGGAGTATTGAAATAAATAGATGATGCTTAAGTTTGATATAATAGATACGCACGTTTGCTTTAGATGAAATCTTGACGTTGTTTAGTTATTCTCTTGGTGCGAGTCATTGATTTTTTTTGCCTCACCCTTTCTGCCCACAATTGTACAATTATTCGTTTTGTCCACTGATATACAATTATTGAACTCATCCTCAGTAAGCTGCAGGATTGGGTCAATTAACTTTATATTTATTATTGTTTGAAGAATGATTTACAGAAATAACACAGTATTTCCTGAGATTTTTAATTGTGACATGAAGTCTCTCTGTCAGTTTTCTCTCAGTATTTCTTTCTTTTGTTGTTGCCTTGTCATTGATCATGAAATTAAGGAAAGATTGTTAAGGACCTAGATAATAGTATGCTGACTTCTTGGGTCAGCCAATTAAAATGATTATCTTGCTTTTGTAAGAATACAAAGTTATTTTATGCACAGCAAAATTGACAAATTTTGAAAAAAAATAATTTGTGATTCTTAGTCAGATTTGAGTGTAAAATGGTGCAATACTTGTCTTTTTGCAGTCATCTTGCATATTAATTAAAATTGGTTATGCTGGATAAACAAAATGAGCAAATGACCTGAAATGTTACATATAAATTATTGGTTGAGACCTACATCTGACCACAAGCTGATCTCAAAAAGATTTTTTTAGTCCCTTGACATATTAAGAAACCTCAGTTGAGTCCCTTTAAGGTGATATTAAGATAGAAAATGTGCAAGCTGGCCTGGCTCTATACTGTTGGCAAGGGTTAATCCCTTTTAGTTCCTGAGTAAGGTAAGGGATAGGTTTTCACAAATTTCTAGATAAAAAAAAATTATGTAACAGTAAGTTGCTGATAAGAAAAAAAACCCTAAAAAATTTAACCGAAAGAGCTAAAAGAGGGACATCGTCAGGACTAATTTATTCTTTGACATACTTTTCTTAGGCACACATAGTGTTTATCAAGATAGACACAACATTGAAATGAATGATTAAACCCTGCTGAAGACAATTTATGGAAAATAGACAATCAGATATTTTAAAGTTTAGGTCTTCTCATTTGATAAAAAACTAGGGCAAAGACAAAATGAAGAAGCTATGTTTCACAGTAAACAAGTTGTGATGCAAAATTGTAAATGAAGCAGCACACTGAGCACAATAATCTTAAAGGAATGACTAAATGAAAGAAATCAGTTTCTTTATTCAAAATTTCACACAAATAACCTGACCAGTGTTTAAATCAATTTATAAAGAGCTCCACTGATGTGAAAAAGCCTAAAAACATAAATTTTTAATTCTTGCTTACATGTACATTGTATATGAAGTGATACACTTAATTAAAATATTTTCAGTCTCTCCGTGTAAAAAATAGTCAGTAGATTCCCTTTAAGGATAATGTCTAAAAGCAATATCTGTCAAATAACCCTGTATGAATAATGCCTAATTCCATTTTCTGTCTAATAATCTCTTACTGGTAAGAATAATATCTTAATCCAATGAATGAAAATCTATGTCTATGAAAATGTTGTGTTTGCTTATTATAAATTGTACTGTAGAGTCACACTGGTATGTTCCCTTCAACATAATATAACCTAGGTTACATTTTATTTTCAGATGTGACTACCTCAGTATATTTGACATGTACTATATGAATGAGACACTTCGATATTACCGTGGGGTGGATCAGATACCAGATGTTTTCCACTCGGAATCTAGCAATATATTTATAATGCTGTGTCACGGGGGAATGATGAAAAATTACAACTTTCAAATCAGTTTTAGCATCACACGTAAGTTAAATTTGTTCTGAATAGTTACATGTATGTACTTAAAAAGTCATGTATACACATGTTTTTTTTTTTCTGTCTTGGTTTAGAATTTGACAGGGTTGTCATTAAAGAATTTCTGAGATGGTCCATTTTGGTTTTAATATGGTTATATTTGGCTTTAATGCATACAAGAAAGAATGTTTTGTTTTTTTTTTAAAGTTTTTAGGTGGCTCGGATTAATAAGGCCAGAATAAAATGATATTGATTCAAGCTTTGGTAAAATGGTGAAACTGCATATAGGAAAATAAATTTATTTTTAGCTCGACTATCCAATAAGAATAAGTAGAGCTATTGTATTCAGCCAAGCGTCGGTGTCGGCGTAACCACTTATGTTAAAGTTTTTGTAATACCTCAAATATTTTCAAAGTCCATTGACATATGGCTTTGAAACTTTGCACACTTGTTCACTATCATGACCCCAACCTGTAGACAGAAGGAGGTAACTGTATCAAGCATTTGGCAGAATAATGCCCCTTTTTGCGATTTAGAATTTACATTTAAGTTTGAAAATTACCACCTCAGATATTTTCATATTCTATTGACATCTGGCTTTGAAACAAGTTGAAATTTTATACTCTTCTTTAAGAGCATAATAGGACTCCCTTCAAGGCCTATAACTGTAACATGGATTTAAAGAAAAAATTTGCCCTTTTGTTAACTTAGAAAATTTTATATTATCAAGGCTTTTTTTACTATCAAGCACTAAGAATAGTCGAGCGTTGCTGTCCTACCGACAGCTCTTGTTTAAAATACATGTAATCTGATATATAATTTTTCTCTGCACCAAAAAATAGTGCAGATAAACCATTATATTTGTCAAAGAATTCACATTGTATGATTTGATAGCAAAACAAATGTTGCATACATGTGAATTTTTTTCGATGATCAAGTGGGAGATATTTCTTCAAAAAGAGGGAGATTTTAGAATTTGCAAATAAACAAAGAAGGAAGTTCTTTCATCAAAAAGAGGGAGATTTCTTTAATTTGTTAAAATACCCCTTATTTCAGAAAAATCTTTGAAAATATGGCTGCAGAAAGTGGGAGTCTCCTGCTAAAAGTTGGAGGGTTCACATGTATGAATTGATGAATCCCTAACCGTGATTAATGTGTGGATTTGGTTTACAGAACTCAATAATCATTTTGTTTTGGCCTCAATTTGATTCAAAGTTTTTAAATCATATTACAACATTTTTTTAGATTTCATTTACTGTCTTGTTGAATTTGCTTATCATTTCATTTTCATGGAAACTATTCATGTATTTTTATAGTCTATTTTATTTATATCTTGTTAAATACAAAGAGGATTATTGACTTGGACTGTGAAAATATTTTAGATTGTTTATCTCTTACTTCTTACTGAAATATACATATGAAATTGACAAAAATTATTTTGTTATGATAAAATTTATGTTGTCCACAAATATTTTGCTGATATATGTACTTGCAAGTCAACCTTATCAGGTGATATACATTGAGTTATATACAGTAAATGTTTGCACTGAGTGATATACATGTACATTCAATTATATAAATCATATAATACAGAAGGAAATTTTTTTATTTGAATAGATTTTAATGACGTCTATGTAAATCATTTGTTGGTTTATTGTAGAAAAAATGAAAACAGTGCACGGAAGCTCGGATACGTCCTCTGCCACTGGTTTGATAAGTTCCCCATTTTTTCCGACTGGCTACGCGCAGAATCATGAGGTGTACAAATACGTGATCTCCAGTACGGATGCTGATGATTATATCATAGTAACATTCGATGATTGGCACCTGTCAGAAACTTCTTCATTATATGTAAGTATAGCCGCATATATTCTTGCTGGTTCCTGCAGAGATCATGTTGAAGTATAGGATATTTCCAGCTTATATCTGAGATAATGTGGGAAAAGGGCACAAGTCTGATATAACTTTAACCATGTTGATGTTACTTTTTACGCCTTAAATAATTTGTGATATATTTTAAATCAAGATTGTTCTCATAACTGCATGTACCATCTAAGGTTAGGTTCCATTTATGCTTGAAATAATACATGGAGGAGCAGCCGAGGCTTCCCTGCATCAGTAAAATTGGAAAGTCAAATTAATTACAATCTTTATAATGTCACAATGACTTAATTAATTAACAATTGTTAATTTTACTGTATAATAAGGAATAATACAGAAATTGATTAGAGAGATCAAATTATCACTCTGTTCATGCTTCACACATTGCTTTTCACAGTTTGTCAAAAGCAACCAACCTGGCCAGTTTAATGGTGGATCAAACCGTCCCGTTGTCCTGTCTGACTCGAGCCTGCTCCAGTTTACCTTCAGTACTGGAGTGTCACTGACAGCTGGGGAGAACAGAGACTTTATAGGGTTCAGAGCTGCCTATAAGTTTTATAAAGGTAAAGTTATTTATTAAATTTTATTAAAATTTCCATAATACATGTTTGTAGAAGATTTTTAGCCCCAGTTTCCTAAAAATTAGAGTTAATGTCATTCATGTCATAGCTCACACTTTGACAGGGAAGATTATCCTAAAACTAACTAAAAGCTTGACTATTCGAAATACTCATCTTTTCTTAAACTTTGGTGATATTTGCGTGCAAGTTGGTATCACTTAAACTATGAAGATAATGGGTCGAAACTTCACACACTTATTTGGGCCCATAAAAGGAGGTCACTTTCCAAGGTCCATAATCGTCACATCAATTTTCACAGGATTATGGCCCTTTTTAATTTAGAACATTGTACATTATCCAGGCTCTTATTTAACTATCGAGCACTAAGAATAGTGGAGCACAGTGTCCTGATTTCGACTCTTGTGGGAAGTTATTCCTTAAAACTAGTTAACCCTTTGTTAGTGTCCATTTTTTGTGTCGCCTCTACGGAGTAGTGGCGACATAAAGGGATCACTTCTCCGTCGTCTGTCTGTCCGTCTGTCTGTCTGTCCGTCCGTCCGTCCGTCCGTCCGTCCGTCCGTCCGTCACAAAACTTGTCCGGACTACTCCTCATAAACTACTGGTGCAATTTCATCCAAACTTTACAGGAATGATAAGTACCAAGTGTAGTTGTGCATATTGTCAGCATTTTCCGGATCAATGATTTTTGTCAGAGTTATGGCCCTTTTATAATTTTAAAGTTTGTCCGGACTACTTCTCTTATACCACTAATGCAATTTCAATGAAACTTTACAGGATTGATCTGTAGCTCAAGTCCTTGCGCATATTGCACTGGTTTTCCGGTTGAATGATTTTTGGCCGAGTTATGGCCCTTTGATAAAAAGGTGTTTTTTTAGCTCACCTGTCACAAAGTGACAGGGTGAGCTTTTGTGATCGCTTTTCGTCCGGCGTCCGTCCGTAAACTTTTACTTTAAATGACATCTCCTCATAAACCACTGAGCCAATTTCATCCAAACTTCACAGGAATGTTCCTTTGGTGGTCACCTTTAAAAATTGTTCAAAGAATTTAATTCCATGCAGAACTCTGGTTGCCATGGCAACGGAAAGAAAAAACTTTAAATATCTTCTTTTAAAAAACCGTAAGAGCTAGAGCTTAGATATTTGGCATGAAACATCTTCTAGTGAGTGTCTACCAAGTTTGTTCAAATAAAAGCCCTGGGGTCAAAATTGGCCCCGCCCCAGGGGGTCATTGATTTTCCCTATATGCATATAGTAAAAACTTAAAAAATCTTCTTTTAAAGAACCCAAAGAGCTATAGCTAAGATATTGAGCATCAAACATGTTCTAATAGGTGTCTACCAAGTTTGTTCAAATAAAAGCCCTGGGGTCAAAATAGGCCCGGCCCCAGGGGGTCATTGATTTTCCCTATATGCATATAGTAAAACTTAAAAAATCTTCTTTTAAAGAACCAAAAGAGTTAGAGTTAAGATATTTAGCATGAAACATGTTCTAATGGGTGTCTACCAAGTTTGTTCAAATAAAAGCCCTGGGGTCAAAATTGGCCCCGCCCCGGGGGGTCATTGATTTTCCCTATATGCATATAGTAAAAACTTAAAAAATCTTCTTTTAAAGAACTCAAAGAGCTATGGCTAAGATATTGAGCATCAAACATGTTCTAATAGGTGTCTACCAAGTTTGTTCAAATAAAAGCCCTGGGGTCAAAATTGGCACCGCCCCAGGGGTCATTGATTTTCCTTATATGTGTATAGCAAAAACTTAAAAAATCTTCTTTGAAAAAACCCAAATAGCTAGAGTTAAGATATTAAGCATGAAACATCTTTTAGTGAGTGTCTACAAAGTTTGTTCAAATAAAAGACCTGGGGTCAAAATTGGCCCAGCCCCGGGGGTCATTGATTTTCTTTATATGTGTATAGCAAAAACTTAAAAAATCTTCTTTGAAAAAACCCAAATAGCTAGAGTTTAGATATTTAGCATGAAACATCTTCTAGTAAGTGTCTACAAAGTTTGTTCAAATAAAAGCCCTGGGGTCAAAACTGGCCTGGCCCCAGGGGTGTCATTGTTTTTAACTATATGTGTATAGTAAAAACTTAAAAAAAATCTTCTTTTAAAAAGCCCAATGAGCAAGAGCTTAGATGTTTAGCATGAAACATCTTCTTATTATTCTACGAAGTTTGTGCAAATAAAAGCTCTTGGGTTAAATTGGCCCTGCAACGTTTGGGGGGGGGGCCTATATACAGGTGAGCGACCTCAGGGCCATCATGGCCCTCTTGTTCTGTGTGTTGCCAGATACACAAAAGCTTGTGCGGACTACTCCTCATAAACTATTGTTGCAATTTCATCCAAACTTTACAGGAATGATCAGTACCAAGTGTAGTTGTGCATATTGTCAGCATTTTCCGGTTCAATGATTTTTGTCAGAGTTATGGCCCTTTAATAATTTTTATTTTTAAAGTTTGTCCGGACTACTTCTCTTATACCACTAATGCAATTTCAATGAAACTTTACAGGATTGATCTGTAGCTCAAGTCCTTGTGCATATTGCACGTTTTTTCCGGTTGAATGATTTTTGGCCGAGTTATGGCCCTTTGATAAAAAGGTGTTTTTTTCTGTGTGTTGCCAGATACACAAAAGCTTGTGCGGAATACTCCTCATAAACTATTGTTGCAATTTCATCCAAACTTTACAGGAATGATCAGTACCAAGTGTAGTTGTGCATATTGTCAGCATTTTCCGGTTCAATGATTTTTGTCAGAGTTATGGCCCTTTAATAATTTTTATTTTTAAAGTTTGTCCGGACTACTTCTCTTATACCACTAATGCAATTTCAATGAAACTTTACAGGATTGATCTGTAGCTCAAGTCCTTGTGCATATTGCACTGGTTTTCCGGTTGAATGATTTTTGGCCGAGTTATGGCCCTTTGATAAAAAGGTGTTTTTTTCTGTGTGTTGCCAGATACACAAAAGCTTGTGCGGACTACTCCTCATAAACTATTGTTGCAATTTCATCCAAACTTTACAGGAATGATCAGTACCAAGTGTAGTTGTGCATATTGTCAGCATTTTCCGGTTCAATGATTTTTGTCAGAGTTATGGCCCTTTTATAATTCTTATTTTTAAAGTTTGTCCGGACTACTTCTCTTATACCACTAATGCAATTTCAATGAAACTTTACAGGATTGATCTGTAGCTCAAGTCCTTGCGCATATTGCACTGGTTTTCCGGTTGAATGATTTTTGGCCGAGTTATGGCCCTTTGATAAAAAAATTTTTTTTTTGTGTGTTGCCAGATACGCAAAAGCTTGTCGGACTACTCCTCATAAACTACTGGTGCAATTTTATCCAAACTTTACAGGAATGATCAGTACCAAGTCTAGTTGTGCACTGTCCGTCTGTCTGTCCATCTGTCTGTCACAATATTTGTCCCAACATGAAATTGGCCATCATGAGGCGACACATGTGATTACTGATCGCTCTTGTCTGTAACTAGTAAGGGTGTTCACTTCAAACTTGGTATGCTTGTTCAATACTATATCAAAAGGGCAAAATATCCTTAAATTAAAGTAATCTACTCAATAATGACTTGACCATGTCACCAGTAAATACTCAGGAGGCCATCTAAGTTTTTTGAACTTTGAAAAAGAATATCTCTAAAATACCTATATGAAAGAAATATGTTTGTATATTTCCTTTAGAGGGGATGGCACATGCAGGAGATCATTGCTAAATGGCTAAATGCCTTCTATAAATAGCAGCATAATATTTTGTTCTAGAACATTTTTTCTGTTTACATACAATATTCATGTGTGTTAAGTATCAGAGACATTCTATGAGAATTTACCATGATATTATAGCTTTATACCATTTAACCCTTTCGCTGCCAGGGCTTATTAGTATTATAATAATTATATATGTTTCCAAATCTGCCACTGTCGATGGTATAATTATCTATATACACTAAACGAAACTTATAAGTACTCCGACCAATTTTTATTATATTGTGTTAGAATTACTATAACTAGTCTAAGTCGATACTGTATAAACTTTAATCATAGTATCATCATTTTATAATAGTAAATGCATTTTACAATAACTCAAACTTAACAGAAAATCAGTAACTGAGATCACCATTGTAAAAAAAATCAAATACAAGTTTAGTATATATTTTGAAAGCCGGAGTTTTCCTGCAAGTTTGAAATCGGAGTACTTATAAGTTTCGTTAAGTGTATTTCTTATTATCATTATTATTATTATAATTATCATTATTATGATTATTATTATTTTTATAGAAATGGCAAATACACCGAAAATAATAGGGACGGCATATGCCGTTCCTATGGCAGTGAAAGGGTTAAATTGTTCAATAAATGTTTTAAACATAATTATGTTAAATGAATGATTTTCATACATTTAACATTTAAAGTATGTAAAGAATTTGTCTTAAAACATCAATAAAAAGCATTGTCTTGATCAATGTCTTGTAATGAAATAGATCTTTCTGGCTATTACAGTTTTTCTCTTTAATTTCAGGTCGGCAATTTATTACAAAGCCAAATACAAGTAAGTATCATTTAGTCCTAAATCTTAAAAACTGAATTTGTTAAACAGTATTTTGTTTTAAGTTTCACAACAACATAATTGTGTTATTATGATGTAGGCTCTATTTTGGTAACATAGCTAAAAGGCAAAGCTGCAGAGTAGTGGCGACATATAGGGATCATTTCTCCGTCATCTGTCAGTCTATCTGTTCGTTTGTCACAAATTTTGTTCGAACTACTCCTCAAAAACTACTGATTGATCAGTACCTCAAGTACTTGGGCATATTAAATTGGTTTTTTGATTTTAATAGTTTTTGTCACAGTTAAGGCTCTTGCGCAGAAAATAATCAAAATGTTCATGATTTTTTGGTAATTCTTACTTTCTCTAGATTACAGAAAATATTCAAACATTCAAACACACAAATTACATTTCCAACAAATAGTCAAATCACCTCTTGATACAACTGCTTAATTGGAAATCATCAGGCAACACATGATCGCTCTTGTACTTTTAATCTTCCATCATCTCCATGTCTATAATATTTCTTTTCACCAACATGTCATCTCTTGCCCCTAACTGCTGTGAATATGAATTGGTCATTGTTTCATGTGAGGAAGATGCATGTTTCCAGCTAGTTTACTGAAGGTCACTGGTTCTGCTGAGGTGTTCACTAATGATTATGTTATTATGTTTGACTAATCCAATCCAACCTATACGTCTTTACATTTTGATCTTATCATTTAATATTGGCCATGCAATATTATTCATCCCTTTAATGACTGTATTTCTTAAATGGACTTGTCTAGCTTCCATTTTTTGAAACTGTCCATTATCAATTTTAGGGATATCAAGATAAGAAGTTGGTCAGCCAGCAGTATAGAGCATGGTCAGACTGCACGGATGTGCAGGTTGGCCTGGCTCTATGCTGGTGGCAAAGACTAATCACTTTCTGTTCCAACAGGGTTAGGGTTTATTTGATTTTATTTTCCAGATTGTAAAGGATTGAGCTATTTGATGTCCAGTAAAGGTGGAAGGATAAGTTTTTCACCAGCATCCCCAACTAGAGAATTGTACGACTGTTTATGGGTGGTGAAAACTCAGGAAGATTTTGAGGGCACCTACTTAAAGATTATCAGGCTAAGAATAAATGGTAAATAATTCTTACGCATGTATTTGATTTTATCCATGACTTTTCTTTTTGATTAGCAAAGCCTGCACTGCTGGGTTTTTTTATACACATTTAAGAAATTGGTAAGCATTTTAAAAAAAGACAATTTCCTAACTCATAACAATTCTAATTATGCCAATCATTGACATATAAATATTGAAATAATTCAGAAATAATTCAGATTTTAACTATATATTTCAGTTTATTTGTTTATGTATTGCTGCTAGATAATGACTTAGCTGAAGATAAGGTTGTGGTTAATCCACTTGTAACTGATACACCATGATTAAATTTTATAATGTGGACTAGATCCCTAACCTCATTAATGAAAAAAATTCTGACCTTTACTTTTTATGTGTGCGCTGTTTGAGCAATGGCTAAAAACTCCATTGAGAAAAACTGTAAATCAGATTATTTTTACATAACTTGAGCTAGATTAAGGTCATTATGTCAATTAATTAATAATCAACATTATTTTTCAGGTCATGTATTCCGTGGCGAGAATCAGATAGTTATCAGAGATGGAATCTCATCTGATGGCGCAGTACGAGCTAAACACGACATGTTGGATAATATCAACAATGGTATTCCACATTACAGTAAGACCGGCTTCTACATCCGACTGAATGCCTCCCTGTCATCTAGTGATAGTGTCATACTTACCTATGCTTCATACAAGATGTCTCCAGGTAAGTTTTTGTTGAGGAAATAACTTAACAACTTTTGACTTTCTGTTTACCAATTAGGGGAAAAAGTGTGTAAGTGGCCAGATACTCAGTCAAAAGTGTGTGGTATTCAAAAAGTCATGGGTTCAAGTTCTGGTTAGACAGACTGATATTTGGCACCCAATGTGAGGCTGTACATAACGCTATATAGCTCCTAGTCAGTTTACATTGTTCTCTGTTCTTAATACAAAAACAGTTATAGAGGAAGAGTATGTTATAGAATTACTGTTTAATTTTTCTAACTTTATATGCACTGCATGCTTCTTGAGGACTACCATAGCCACCTATAGGTAATATTTCACAATGACCAGATATAGCAAATATTAACCTAGGCCATGAAATGAAATCAATCCAAAGTCCTCTACATTGACTTGCACCTGCACCTTGTTGAGCATCAACCTGCCAGAGCCACTTAGGGGTCATGGGGTCAAACCATGAGCTAAAATAGCAAATATGAACCCTTTACCTCATATACATTGTAGATTGTGTTTTGGCAGCTTTTCAATCACCCCCCCCCCCCTTTTTTTTAGGCCTCAAACAGTGAAAAATTATCCTATTTAGGGCCCAAACACTGTTTTTTGTTTGGGAAATGTTGTTAAAAAAGGTGATCACTTTTTTGGTGCCGCCCACCTATCAAAAAGGTACATCAGTGGGTTGCCAGAAGGGGGGTTGGCAGAAGAGGGATGTGCCCCCTTATGTTTCGGGGGTTTGAAGGGGGGCTGTTTACAATATATTACTATATAGATAAAAAATAGAAGGGTCATTGGAAACAATGGTCTGTGTTTCATTTATAGTAACTGCAATGCAATAAGAAAAATTAAAGAATGCAGTGAACTAACTCCAAAGACAATAAATAATCAAGTAAAAGGGAGAACAACATGTCCAAAACTAAATAAATAAACTATTAATAACCATGCAAATCTGTGTGATAACTGTAAAGACTTTGTGATATTTTTCACTGATATAAAAATGATTTATTGTGTTCAGGTTGTGGTTCAGACTTATTTGTGTGTGGTAATGATAAATGTATAGATAAAAACCTGATATGTGATGGGTACGATCATTGTGGCGATAATAGTGACGAAGTTGCCGGTTGTGCAGGTATGTTCTATTTTTAGATCCAGTTATATACTATAACTTCATTTAAATCAACAAGCTCAGATGCCTATTCTAATGAATTTTTCTCATTAATGAGCTGCGCCATGACAAAACCAACATAGTGCGTTTGCAACCAGCATGGATCCAGACCAGCCTGCGAATCTGCGCAGTCTGATCCGGATCCATGCTGTTTGCTTATAAACCCCAATTTAAGTAGAAAAACTGATAGTTAACAGCATGATCCTGATCAGACTGCAAGGATGCGTAGGCTGGTCTGAATATCCATGCTGGTCTCAAAAGCACTATGTTGGTTATGTCATGGCGCGGCTCAATTTTGTAAATAATACCAAGATGCAAGTGCATCATCTATGATGATTGAAAGTGCGACACCATTTGCTGTTGCTTAATCAGAAACCATTTTGGCATCAGAAAAGATAATTAACAGTTCTGAAAATTTAGCAGAATGAGGGTTAATTAATTCATTATATATCATTTTATATGCTTTGCTACCTTTATAAACTGTATAAATTTAACATAAAAATTGACACCAAAAATAAAAAAAGCAACCAATATACTATAGGAGTGATGATTCTTATACCGAATTAGCTTTGAATTTGTCATTGAATAAGCAATTCTTTTATATTTTTCTTACAGATAATACAGGCCAATGGGACAAAAGCTATCAGTATACTATAACAATAGGGGTGATAGTTCCCATGGTGATATCTGTATTCCTCATCATGGTTATATGTCTCCTGTTTGTGATGATACGAAGATGTCGTAGAGCACGTCTCCGTGAAGCTCTGGACTCAAGCGAGAGATTACAAACTGTCAGTGAGGACGTAACAGAACGGAGAAGTAATTATATTTTATTTTTATCTCAGATTTCTTCAAGTTGTTAATGACTAGCTTTTTGTCAGTTTTCTGTTGTTTTAATAATACCCTAGTGCTAGTTTAGACGATTCAATAAACTTTTAACTTATTTGTTAGCCGAAAGTAAAAAATGTTATTATATTTATATTTGTTCAGTTGTCATCAACAACAACAACATTGATAATAATATGTAAATGGGTAAATTTCTAAATAAGCACATACAGTCGGTTTCTCTATCAGCATATAGACTGTATCTAATGGTTTAAACATTCAATGATTTATTTTATTTATACAAATCATTTTCTTTGGTTAGCTTTGGTCTAATCTCTTTATATCATAGAATATAAGGAAAGCTTCACTTGAACTGATGTTTTGGTTGTCATAATTTATTTAATTTATGTAATTTTAATTAGATCAAGATTTGATGATGTTAAATTTGATCATTTAAGGGCGCAGACGACACAGGCGCAGACTTGGATTGTTCGGAAGTTTTGAAAGAGACAGGCCACCCACGTATGACGAGGCAATGCAAAACCCACCAGGATGGTACCTTAATGTTGTAAGTATAATAATGTAGTCCACGTGGATGAAATGAAACTATATTGGTTATCACTGCCCTTTGAAACAAGACCTGGTGTTTGAGGACATACATGTATTTGAAAATTTCTTTGTCACTTGCATTTGCCATTTGTTTTCATACAATGAGGATTTTAATAGAAATTGAAAATACTTTTGTATAAGAGTACTATTTTGTTGGAGTTACACAAAATTATTGTATTTTTTTTTTTCTGTACAAATATTGATTATCATATGAATAACAAATATGCTGTATAATATCATGTCTGTCAGAATTACTTACCTGTCCTTTACAGGCATTTGGCAATCCTGTTGACCCATCATTGCCACAGCCACCTTCATACCATGAGGCAATCAGTGCCGATACATCGGCACCTAATACAAACCCTAGACAAACCCCTGGAAGCCCCACCTCTACTGACAGTAGCCAATCAGAACTGACAGTCTGTTCAGGTCACCTATCAGATTCCTCTAGTTCTAGTGATGAGGGCTCAACATGGGGAACTTACAATGGTGATGGAGATGGTAGGAGAGGGAGACTTGGTAGGCATGTCTCAAGTTCTGAGTCTGAACCTGGTACTCTAGATTCACGTCCCAGATCTGCTGCGAGTCCTGTTCAGACAGAACCTAGATCAGATTCAGTAGCAACTTCGACAGAAAATACTCAGAATAGAGTAGCCCCTGTAGAAGAATTGCATACTGTTGAAAGCATGCCAAAAGACAATAAGGACAATATTCAAATAGCAAGGAAAGAACATGAAAAGAAAGTTAATAATGCTGCAGATGATTTTGTTGTGCCAGCAGGGCCCAAACCAGGCTGTAGTGATCCCCAGATTAATGTTTGTAGGCCTAAAACATATGCTATAGGTGCACCACAGGGGCTCGAGTCATGTGCTCCTGTTGCTCCAAGTAATCATCATAGAAATATATCATCCGGGTCAGAAGCTGCAATAGAGACCGGAAAGAAACCAAAGAAGAAACCAAGGAAGTCTAAGTCAAAGAAAGCCAGTAATCAACCAGTTCATGCACCGGAAATACTGGAAAATGCCATACCTGATCTAAATTTCAATGAGTACCTGATAAACCAAGGTCATTCAAATATCCCAGAAATTGCAAGTACAAACCAAGAAACATCTGGTGCTGTACCACAAGCATCAAACCTTCATGACAACAGTAACTTTTTCTATCCTACATCAAATTTGACAGAAAATAGTGCAGAAAGTAGTCCTAAAGTGCAAGCATCTACTGATGCGGATTTAGCCTATCAGGTTGTAGTAAATGTAGATAATGATGATGTTTTAGTAGTTTATGATTCAGCTGATGAAAAATTTGGACAAAATATGTCACCAGCCCAAGTTTCTAAGGCGGATAAATTTAAAACGAATGGAAGAGTAGATCTGACTTCTGAAAATAGTTCCATGGCAGCAAATGCAATGGAAATGGATCAAACGAACAAAAAACCATGTACAAACACTAATGATAATTTAGATCTGAAATATAATGATAGAGAGCGAAACCATTTTGCACCAGACGACACATGTCATGGTGCATACGCCAGTTTAGGGCAAAAGCCGTCTGCTGTAAATGATGTTGACTGTGATCAAACTGTTATGTCATTTAAACAAAGGGAAGATAAATCTGACAATTACACAAATAGTGAGTTGCAAATTGAAAATGGTGCTACTAGAGTTAACGAACATATGAATCAACCAAGTGTATCTCTTAGAAATGATTTGGATGATACTGAAGATATTTATGTGTAATATTTATTCACTTAGTCATTCTTTTTTAAATGAGACCACTTAAGGGAAAAAACCTAATTGGTCTTTATTATTAATTAAAAGGATGTTCCATGGATATAACCAACTGTAAAAAACATTCTGAATATTAGATAAAATGATGCTCTGTGGATATAAAAGGGAAGAGACTAAAGTGCTCTTTTTGTAAAACAAAAAACATGCTCCATGGATTACACCAAAGGAAACTTCAAAAAGTTGTCATATTATTAAATAAAAGCAGTTGTTCCGTAGACAAAACTGAGATAACCAATAAAGTGGTCTTCTTATTAAATAAAAATATGTTCCACAGGTATAACCAAGGGAAAAAACTATGTTGTCTTCTTATTGATAAAAGCATGTTCCATGCATATAACAAAGGTAAACAACTAAAGTGGTCTTATTATAAAATAAAAGTATGTTCTGCACATATAACCGAGGGAAAAGACTATGCTGTTTTCTTGTTAAATAAAAGCATGTTCCATGCATATAACCAAGGGGAACAACTTAATTATACCCCCACAAACGAAGTTTAGGGGGGTATATAGGAGTCAGCTTGTCGGTTGGTCGGTCGGTCGGTCGGTCGGTCCGTCGGTCGGTCCACATCATGGTTTCCAGACGATAACTAGAGTTTGGAGTGAGGTATTGTAATCAAACTTGGTATATAGCAACCTTATGTGGAAACCCCGGTTGGTATTGCATTTGGACCCCCTGGGGCCAAGGTCAAGGTCACCGTTACTAAAAATAGAAAAATGGTTTCCGGACAATAACTAAAGTTAGGAATGAGATATTATAATCAAACTTGGTATATAGAAAGCTTATATGAAGACCCCGGTTGGTATTGCATCTTGACCCCCTGGGGCCTAGGTCAAGGTCACCGTTACTAAAAATAGAAAAATGGTTTCCGGACAATAACTAAAGTTAGGAATGAGATATTGTAATCAAACTTGGTATATAGAAAGCTTATATGAAGACCCCGGTTGGTATTGCATCTGGACCCCCTGGGGCCAAGGTCAAGGTCACCGTTACTAAAAATAGAAAAATGGTTTCCGGACAATAACTAAAGTTAGGAATGAAATATTGTAATCAAACTTGGTGTACATCAAGCTCATATGAAGACCCCGGTTGGTATTGCATCTGGACCCCCTGGGGCCAAGGTCAAGGTCACCATTACTAAAAATAGAAAAATGGTTTCCGGACAATAACTAAAGTTAGGAATGAGATATTGTAATCAAACTTGGTATATAGCAAGCTTATATGAAGACCCCGGTTGGTATTGCACCTGGACCCCCTGGGGCCAAGGTCAAGGTCACAGTTACTGAAAATAAAAAATGGTTTTCGGACAATAACTAAAGTTAGGAATGAGATATTGTAATCAAACTTGGTATATAGCAAGCTTATATGAAGACCCCGGTTGGTATTGCATCTGGACCCCCCTTGGACCAAGGTCAAGGTCACCGTTACTAAAAATAGAAAAATGGTTTCCGGACAATAACTAAAGTTAGGAATGAGATATTGTAATCAAACTTGGTGTTTAGCAAGCTTACATGAAGACCGCGCTTGGTATTGCATTTGGATTCCCTGGGTTCAAGGTCACAGTTACTAAAAATAGAAAAAGGGTTTCCAGACAATTACTAGGGTTAGGAATGAGATATTGTTATCAAACTTGGTGTATAGCAAGCTTATATCAAGATAGTTGGGATTGCAATAAATTGAAATTTTATTTACTGTAGGTTTATTTCAAATTTTTCTTCAGACAACTTATTTTTCAAAAGTCAAAGTTGCTGGTGGGGGTATTAATCACCTTCAGTGATAGGTCTAGTTGGTCTTACTATTAAATAAAGGATGTTCCACAGATATAACCAAAACTTATATATCCTTGATGTTGTTCATGTTTAATGCATTCCAAGTTCGATGGTTGTTATTTAATTTAAATACTTCTATACACACTTATGCTTTATACAAGAACCATAATCAAATGCTGAATTTATTTTTCAAACTTTTGAAAAAAGTAGTTTTAACAAATATCTAAACCTCATTATACCAAAATTGCATAAATTCATAATGAAAACTTATAAAAATACAAAAGATGTACGTACTATCTTTGACACATATACTTTTTAGATAAAGAGTGAAGGTTGTTGAGTTGATATTGTTTGCATATGATATTTAGTTTATTACTGTATGTGCAATTGGTATTTTCAAAGAACAAATATTTTATATCATTATCATTATCTCTGTGTCACTTTAATTGCTCATCCTTTGGGGTTGTACCATAAATAGAATAATCAACTTTGATAGTGCAACCCCATATTCATTATTTTTTTCACATAAACAAATTTACACATCAAATTACCTTTTTAAGTTAAGGGGAAAAAAGAGATACATAATTATCATTTAAGATATGTTCTCATTGTAACAAGAATGCTTTTTTCTTTAAATTATATCTTCATTTGACATTAAATCGATTGAATAATATTATATAATAAGATATTACTTCCATTAATGGTTTTTTCAAGCACTATGAATGTTGTGTTTACATTGATATATGAATTTAAATGACTTCAAATTTCAAGTATAAGATCTCAACTTTCTGACAATATTACAAGATAATTGTGTTACAGTCAAAAGCTTAAAGTCAATTTAGTTTTGATCAGCCCAAAATATCAAATATATTTCACTAGAAACCCCTTTATATTTTTACAAATGATGTATATTTCCATTTACATACTGTATTTTTCCGATTTTCCATTACCTCTATTTGCAAATATGTTATATAGAAAAAGAGCTTAATTAGACAGAAATGCTTTATTTTGTGTAAAAATGTATGTTTTGACATTATGTTTTAAGTATACATGTAAATAACAAAACTTGTAAGTACTCCAATTTCAATCTTGCAGGTAAAATCAATCTTTCAAAATTTAGTCTGTCCGTCTATGCGTATCCATATCATATTAAGGCCATGTCACACTAGACTGTGTTTTCACTGAGTTTGCACGGCCTTGTTGAAGTTAACAAAGCGCTGCGAGATCACAATAAGAAATGTGATATTTTTTATGACATGGAGACTTCATGGCGTCCTCACAGCAATCATGGCAATGCTAGGAAGCTTCAATGGTGTTTTAATTGGCGATTGTCTGCATTGTAGAAGATGCTACTGAGTTGCCACAGCGTCCTTACTGTGATTCTACTAAGCTCTTATCAGAATGCCGTGTGACGGCATTAGTTTTGAGCATTCTATGATATGCTGTGGCGATGTTTGTGATCTTACTGCGCTCACCTGGGTGTTCTGAATTTTCTTTGGACGCCATGAGAACGGCGCCCTAGTGTTACTGGTTTTAGATTACACTTGATACACAAACATCAAAACATCTAACATTTAGATGGAGAGTACTTGTAAGTTTTGTTTAATATTTATTATCATTTTATTGGTTAATTTAAGTAACCGTTAGGAGTGTTTCTTCTAGGGACTGATTTTAAAGTCTATATTTTTGTGGCCTTTGTGTAACCTAGGATTTGTTAACTTTATCACAGGTATTTAATTTGTCAAATGGTTAAAAAAAAAACACCCAAAAACAACTATGAGCTACCTGCTGAGATAAAGTTTTATAATTTTTTATGTTTATTTATTGGGTTGTGTTTATATAGTTTTGATTTTATTATAGTGTTTTGAGCAAATAAGGCGTAGAGATGTTATACTGTTCAACTAGTTGCATAGAATCACCTTAAATTACATAAGGAGTTAATCTGTTACTGAAACAAGGTGGCGATTTATATTTTTGCAGGCGCACTTTGTTAATTTAACAAATAATATTTCTAATCACAAATCTTGTAAGTTTTGTTTTTTTATCATACATGTATTAACCATTTCTTGATGTAGATTTTGAATTTGTAGTATTTTTGATAATCATGTTTTATACATTGTGTTCATGTCATTTTGAATGATGTTGTTTAGTAGGTTGTTATGTTTTACCTTCATATAAAATTCTCACAGGGTTAATTTAAAGAGTGCTTATTTTTATTTTTTACATTGGGGCTAAGTTGATTGAAGCTAGAGAAAACAAAACATTTCGTAAATTTTTTTGATTTTTTTACTTTTACTGATGAAGAAGTACTTCTGATGCTCACATTTGTTGTAATGGTAACACTACATGGTTACTTAACATAGAATTATGCTTGGACATCGAGATAAATTTTAGAGAAAAAAAAACCCATGTAGTTAAATGATATGCTTGACTTTTGTTTTGTGGTGTTTATGTAACAAAAAATAAAACATGTATTATATGGTGTTTATAATAACAAAAAAAAAAGACCATATATTTTGTGGTGTTTATGTAACAAAAAAAGATTAACGTTGATAGCAAACAAATGAATTTTCTTCATTAAACTGTTAAATATGCAACTTAAATATTTATAAAAGCTAGAATATTTTAATATAAATACAAAACCTCGTGCTTTTTTATATACACATTTAGTAAACCAGATTTGAATTTTCTTTGAAAAATATTTTCCTCATTAATTTGGAGGTAGCATTATCAGACTTTGATTTAGACACCAGTCTATGGCTTCTGATTGTTAATCAAGTTATGTTTAATCATATATTTTATTAATTCGACTGATATTCAACGATATTTGTATATGACACACACATAATTCAAGTGTGTGCAAAATGTTTATAAAACAATCATGACTGAAGATGAGGCAAATGCTAGCTTGTTTACTCAGATGTGTTTTTATACTGAATCGAAGAAATACATATCAAAATGTAACTTTTTTGTGTAATCGTTGATATATCAATTTGTTATGTTTATTCCAAAGGATGAAATAAAGCTTTGTCGAAATTGCAAGTTTTGGATCTTTCTCTTTCAATCCGGATTCTATCTGATCTTGTAAAATCTACAGTTTGTCTTTATCAATTGACTGTAAGTATATATTGTTGACAACCTTCTTATAGCAGTGAACACAATACTTACTTGGATCAAGCTGCTTGATTGTACTCGTTCTAGATGAAATTGACATTATTACCCTTGTCACAATATGACATGATTCCCTTTGCCACACTATCCCAAGGCTACATTAACAGGATTCCCTTTGTCATAATATCATGAAGCTCTAGCTGTTGACATGATTCCTGTTGTCACAATATATCAAGTCTATATATTGATATGACTTCCTTTGTAACAAAATACTGAGGCTATATTGGCATGATTCTCTTTGATACAATATCCTGAGCTTAGCGCATAAGGCTAAGTTGACACCATTCCCTGTCATCTATATTTACATGATTCCATTTGTCATAATATAACGAGACCATCTGTTCAGTACCAAGCAAAATTTCCTTTAAAAAAAACAATCATAAAGCTTTCTTATTTTGTTCTAGTTCAATAAATTTCATATAAATACAGTCCTACTTAGTTATTACGAGATATATAGTGCAACAAGAAAACCTTTAGAAAGAAAGAAAGAACAAATTATTCCTTTAAATCTTTAATGAAACTTCAAAAACA